CTTCATATGAGGATAAGCCTAGCTATCTCAGACTCCTACAGCAAGCTACCCAAATCCCGAGATACCCTATGTGCAGTGAAACTTGGCTTCATTCATTATTTTCTCATTTTATAAAAACTTTGAGAGAGGACAATAAGATCTTGGCAACTTCTCACCAGTTTTTGGAGACTTGAACCAGACAACAAAGGGTTCTCTAGAAAAAGCATCTACATCTCCAGGCTGAATATCTGGATACTGATAGGTTCCCTTCACTGACACCACATTTGATCTGAAAAGTAATTTAACCCATCAATAGAATATTAGATATCACATGTACTAATAGTTTGGTCATATCACTTCACTTAGTAATTTCTTGGCTAGTAGCAAAAGCTACATTACACTGCAGTTGTGAAGACTTAATAAAATTCCTATTCAATATGTCAGTAGAATAACCGTACATTTCAACATCAACCATGACTTCTAGCTCAGAGTTACCATCCCACCTCCTTCACTTCCAGAGACTGAAGGTTGGCCAGAATAGCACCTTTGCTTGTCTACATTGAGGTTGAACTGGTACAGCTACACTGATGGCTGTAACTAGGGTACAAGCTAGGCAAGGCCCAACTCAATTTATGCACATTAGAAATCGACTATTCTTTTTGCCTAAAGATGTTGGCAGGTATGGATCATTGCTCCCATGACAGGACATAGGGAGAGATGTGGGAGGAAACCCTAGCCCCATTGAAGTTTATGGGAGTTTTGCCACTGATTTTAGTGGGGCCAGGGTTTCACACAGCCAGAACCCTGCTCGTATAGGGCTAAGTCAACATCTTGACTTGTAATTGGAAGTGAATGTGAATTTAGTATAGTTGTGTGAGAACTAGAGTGATAGGCTTTCTTGCACTGACACTGCTAAGCCAGCAGGCAGCTGCATTTTGGATTAGTTTGTAATCTTTTTACTATATAAGAATAGTTTGCAAATGGAGATAGAAACATAAGGTATGGAATTCACTTACCTATAGATAAAAGCATATTGTTCCTTATAGGACTTTCTTCCTAACCTTGTACTGATCACGTAGTCATATTCTTCTTGGTACTGACTAGAAAGAGAATATTTTAAGTAGATTTCTGTCTCTATAAGGGTTTGGATTTCTATTTAATCTTGTATTAGTAAACACATGTAAGAGGGTCTGAAACACTGACTTCTTGTGCTGGGTTACAGAGAGAAGTCATCTAAAACTACCTTTTGGTATTATCTTGTATAATTATTCACTTTTTTTCCCCTACACCTCTCATGCTGCGTTTTTTAACCTCAGGCTTTATGCTCTGTACTGTACTTCCTATTCTTTTCCTATGCCTCACTTCCATCCATAGATGCATTATATTTTCTAGAGCAGAAACTTACAGGGATATAGTTTTCATCTCCATATTATTTTTATCCAACAAAGATAATTTCTATTTCTAGCTAAAAGTGAATCCCCTCTTCTTTGTATGCTGTCAGCCAAGTCTTTCTTTCTGTCTTTCTTTTTTTTTCTTCATCTTATTTCCCATGATGCATTAGTTTTAGACCTACTGAACCCTACCCTAATCAGACACATTTTTTAAAAATTAGGCTGTAAATGACTTTGTTGCTAGTCTTCTTCAGTAAGCCAGTCAAAGAGCCTAGTTCTCTTCTACTGTATTTTTTTATGCATGAAGTTCAATCTGAGATCTTTCAGTCTAAGGACCTGATCCTTCAAGGGAGTGCTCTGGTGCTTAGCAGATCACATGGACTTTTGTATCTGTCCTTTCCTCCCCATTTCAGAGTATCGTGTGCAGTACCGGTCAGCCCATTTCAAAAAGGACATTGCAGAACTAGAGGGGTTTGGACAAGGGTGATGCGAATGATTAGGGGCTTTGTAAAGCTGTCATGTGAAGATAGATTGAAACGATCGGTATTGTTTACCTTAGGAAGGAGACAAAAAAGAAGGTCCACAACAGAAATATATAAAATAATGCATGCTTTAGAGAAGGTAGATCAGGAGTGTCTGTTCTCCCTGTCTCACAATGCAAGAAAAGGGGGACATTAATTAAACTGAAAGATGGAAAAATTCAAAACAGATAAAAGGAAATACGTTGTCACATGTTCCGTAATTAGACTGTGGAACTCATTACCACAGGGTGTTCTTGGGGGCCAGAACTTAGCAAAAATCAAAGCTTGAATTTTTATATGGATACCAGAAATATCCATAGTTATAATAGTCTATGCTAACAAAAAGCATATGAACCCATCTCTAACTATTAGGAATTAGGTTTAGACCTGTGAGGGCCAGATTACCCCCTATCTGCCCACTGCAGGGTTTTTTGAACCTTAATTTGTAGCATCTCATGCTGGCCTCTGTTGGAGACAGGAGACTGGACTAGATGGACCATGTCCAATATGGCAATTCCTATGTTTTTCTACCAGCTCTTCTGCCTTTCTGCATGTACTTGTGTTAGTGAATGCACATTTGTAGTCTGCCTTACCCATTGAGTTTTTCTATTAAAAGGGGGCATATCTTGTTGCTGTTGTCCTTTATTTCCATCAGTAGCATGATGTCACAGTGAGAAATAACCTGCAGCAGAAAAGAGCAAAGGCTGTTTGTGCTCAGTATATTTTCAAGGGTTAGAACATTTTAACAAAGAGAAAAAATGATTGATTATTGTGACAAGGACAATTACCCCTCCACAAGCCCTAGTGCATGGGGGTAACCCAGAGCCCTGCCTGTCACATGGGTAATTGGGGGTAGGTTGAGAAGGTAGATGGGAAGTAGCTGTGGTGGCAGCTACCATGGGTGAAGGGTGTGTCCTTTCCTCCCAGGTGGCTGGGGAGCTGTCAAGGTGGCTGGTAGTTTGGAACCCGCTGCTCTGAGTGGCTTGTTTGTGTTAAAAATCCTTTGATTATGAACCCATAAAAAAAAAAATCCCTGAGGAAATGGATAAACTGCTGCTGGCAAGAGCTAGGGTTGCCAATTTTGGTTGGCTGTCTCCCTGGAGGTTTCATCAGAGAACATAATCTTTAATTAAAGATTAATCTGTAATTCCTGGAGACTCCATGACAATCCTGGAGCATTGGCAACCCTAGAGAGCTTTGCTCATCTTCCCCAGCTGGTGGTTCTGCCCATCAATCTCTGTTACGTTTGATCTTTCTTCCCCATCTTTTGTAGCTTGTCTCCTCTTTCAGCCCAATCCTGCAAGCACTTATGTACACAAGTAACTTTACTCACTTGGTGCCTGACCCAATTTCCATTGAAACCAATAGGAGTCTTTCCATTGACTTCAGTGACAGTTGCATTGGTTCCCTGAGTAACTGGGACTATTTGTGTGAGAAAATTTACTCATGTGTGTGTTTGTAGGATTAGACTTGTAGAATGTCAGCTTTGTGGGACAGGTACTGTAGCTAACTATGTTTGGACATAGGACATTATGGGTGCTACTATAACATGATGAACTAATATCAGTGTATCAGGGAGATACAGTTACAGCAGGAGACATGAATGTAACTCTGAGGTTTTCTAACTACTTGGAATCTAGAATTTGTTCTTTCCTTACATGTGACTGTGACTTTCTCCTGGTGTTATCTGGACTGGTGACCTGCTAGGTCACTCCAATCCTTGACTCTGGGAGCCAGCCTTACCCTGCTCTGCTGTGAGAACCCCTACTCCTGGGCCGTTCACGCACAGCCTCTGGCATGCAAGCTGCTCCTTGGTGTGTGCAACCAAATGTCACTAGGCAATATCTCTCGTCCCAGACACAACCCTAGGAACCTCCGTCTTGCTGTGTCCAGTGATGTGCAAAAAATCGATCCACGCGTTGTGTTTTCAATCAGATCAGCCCGAGGCCCATTTATTGATTACATGCGCGCAGGGGGGAGGGATAGCTCAGTGGTTTGAGCCTTGGCCTGCTAAACCCAGGGTTGTGAGTTCAATCCTTGAGGGGGCCATTTAGGGATCTGGGGCAAAAATCTGTCTGGGGCTTGGTCCTGCTTTGAGCAGGGGGTTGGACTAGATGACTTCCTGAGGTCCCTTCCAACCCTGGTATTCTATGATTCTATGAGGGGAGAACCGTTACTGAAACGGCCTCCCTGAAGCTGGTTACAAACTGGTTTATAAAGCTTAAAACCACAAACTTAGTACGTAAGTTACATATATCATTACATACATCATTTCCTTATTATTTCTTATTAAAATTCTGCAAGGTTAATGCTGATTGGAGCAAAAGCAAATTCTTTCCATATTAGGCCTTTCCTGTTATTGTCTGTCTGTCTTTTGTGGTTAGATGTTGACAGTAGGGGATATTACAAATTTGTTTTCTGCCGAGGGACTGTTAAGTACTTTCTACTGTCTCCTTCATGCCCTTTTCTCCCCCTCCCGCCTCCTCCCTGTCGGGCGGACCTTGGCAGCTTGACATAAGTTCTGGGCCTGCAAGGTTTTGGGTAACATTGGATTTTCTCTTACACCAGTTATGCCCGCTGGACACTGCAAGCTTTTATGAGTTCATCAATTTAACAAAGAAATTGATATGCACCAGGCTTGTTATCCCAAGGGGAGTTTCTGACATGCTTTAAACCAAACGCACTGCTTCAGGTAGAATAAACAAACAAATGTATTAACTACGAAGATAGATTTTAAGTGATTATAAGTCAAAGCATAACAAGTCAGATTTGGTCAAATGAAATAAAAGCAAAACGCATTCTAAGCTGACCATAACACTTTCAATGCCCTTACAAACTTAGATACTTCTCACCACAGGCTGGCTGGTTTCCCTTCAGCCAGGCTCTCCTCTTTGATCAGCGCTTCAGTTGCTTGGTGGTGATGGCTGTAGATGGAGATGGAAGGGAGAGGAAGAGCCTGGCAAATGTCTCTCCCTTTTATCATGTTCTTTTTTCCCCTCTTGGCTTTGTCTTCCCGCTTCAGCGTCAGGTGAGCATTACCTCATCGCAGTCCCAAGCTGACCAAAGGAAGAGGGGTGACTCACTCAAGAGTCCAACAGATCCTTTGTTGCTGACTAGCCCAGCGTCCTTTGGTCCTGTGAGGCTGGGCTGGGTTTGTCCCATACGTGCCCTGATGAGGTGTGAACTGCCCCTCTGCTCTTGGAGAGTTTTTGCCTGGGCTTGCTTTAAGCCATGAAGACACATTTTCAGCCTCATAACTATATACATGAAATTACAACCTATAACATTACTATAACAACAATGTTCAGTACATCATGAGCCTTCCGAAGACACCTGACATGACAAACTTTGCATTGGATACCACACAATCATTTTATAAGGATGAACATGGGAGTGTAGGGTGTTCCCACGAGCTACAGAACGTCACAGTGACTATCAGAAAGATTAAATGTAAATATTGTAGGACAAAAGGTGAACCCAAGAACCAAGTCACAAATATCTGTGAACAACCCAGCACAACTATGCACCCAAGGGCCTGGAACAGATCATTTAAATAGTTCTTTATTTTTTACACAGTGGCTGACACATAAGGACCCCAAACAATCAGAACAGGCACAGGGCAGCTCTAACCTATGCTAGCTTGTAATGGCTCTTAAGAAGCCATTACACTGTGACAGGATCACTGGAATATATGACTACATCCCCTCTCCATGCCAGCATGCCCCCTACAGCTGGAAAAGGGTAGCACAGAACAAACTCTGATAGGGATTTCCCCTACACTGGAAAACCCCCAGCTGTCCAGTTAAAGCAGCATTAAATACTACTTTGTGCTGCAGAATACCAGAGGCCACAATCCAGCCCCGATATTCAGTGGCTATTCTATATTAATATTTTTTATTTATGAAAGGGCATTTGTTGCCCTAAATAGGAAACTCGAATGAGGTATAAAGTATTGTTTTGGCAGGATAATTGGAAATGATCCAATTTCAGGAGAGACTAAGCACTGCTACAAAGAAAGTAAATTTAGTGCACATCCCTTCTGGTTTAGTTTTGTGATCATGTGAAAGGGACAAATGAGGAAATGTTTTTCAGTGGAAGCAGAATCTTCTCTAGCTTAGTTGAAATTTAGGAGATAAAAACACACATGAAAGGCCCAATCCTGTAAACCTTTACTCACATAAGCAACTCCAATCAGTGGTGTAGCCAGGTGGAGGGAAGAGGGGGAGCGGAAAAAAAAAATGCTGGCAGCATTCTTAAAACTACAATACCCACCTGCTGAAGTGAAAAAACAGATTGACAGAGCCAGACGAGTACCCAGAAGTCACCTCCTACAAGACAGGGCCAACAAAGAAAATAACAGAACGCCACTAGCTGTCACCTTCAGCCCCCAACTAAAACCTCTCCAGCGCATCATCAGAGATCTACAACCTATCCTGAAAGATGATCCTTTACTCTCACAGATCTTGGGAGACAGACCTGTCCTCGCTTACAGACAACCCCCCAACCTAAAGCAAATACTCACCAGCAACCACACATCACTGAACAAAAACACTGACCCAGGAACCTATCCTTGTAACAAAGCCCGATGCCAACTCTGTCCACATATCTATTCAAGTGACACCATCATAGGGCCTAATCACATCAGCCATACCATCAGGGGCTCGTTCACCTGCACATCTACCAATGTGATATATGCCATCATGTGCCAGCAATGCCCCTCTGCCATGTACATTGGCCAAACCGGACAGTCTCTACGCAAAAGAATTAATGGACACAAATCTGACATCAGGAATCATAATACTCAAAAACCAGTGGGAGAACACTTTAACCTGTCTGGCCATTCTTTGACAGACCTGCAGGTGGCTATCTTAAAACAGAAAAACTTCAAAAACAGACTCCAACGAGAGACTGCTGAGCTGGAATTGATATGCAAACTAGACACAATCAACTCAGGGCTAAATAGGGATTGGGAATGGCTGAGCCATTACAAACATTGAATCTATCTCCCCTTGTAAGTATTCTCACACTTGCTTCTTATCAAACTGTCTGTACTGGGCTATCTTGATTATCACTTCAAAAGTTTTTTTTCTCTTACTTAATTGGCCTTTCAGAGTTGGTAAGACAACTCCCACCTGTTCATGCTCTCTGTATGTGTGTATATATATCTCCTCAATATATTTCACTCGATATGCATCCGAAGAAGTGGGTTGTAGCCCACGAAAGCTTATGCTCTAATAAATTTGTTAGTCTCTAAGGTGCCACAAGTACTCCTGTTATTCAATCATTATGACATCTTTAAACAAGGCTTTGAAGTTACAATCCATAATTTTCATGGATCTGAACGTTTCAGTATTTATGGCTTCATTTCAAATGAACCTGTACTCTTCTAAAAACATTAAGTGGCCTCATTCATGAAACACATTGAAAATGTGATGATGTTTTTCTTGCAATACATTAAAGAAGTCAGGCTTTTGAATTTTAAAACACTGCTCTAATAGTACCCGCTTATGAAGCAGTTTAAACAACACAGTGTATATGATTAAAAGATTAGAAAACATGCCTTATAGTGATAACCTTCTCTCTGGTAAGATAAATAGATTGAGTGAGTGACTTGATTACCATCTATAAGTCTCTACTTGGGGAACAAATATTTAATGATCGGCTTTTCAATCTAGCAGAGAAAGGTGTAACACAATCCAATGGCTGGAAGTTGAAGCTAGACAAATTCAGACTGGAAATAAGGCATACATTTTTAACCATGAGTAATTAAACATAGGAACAATTTACCCAGGGTCATGGTGAATTCTCTATCACTGGCAATTTTTAAAGCAAGATTGTATGTTTTTCTAGAAGCTACACACTTGGGATTATTTTGGGGAAGTTCTATGGCCTGTGCTTATATGGGAGGGCAGACTAAATGATCATAACGGTCCCTTCTGGCTTTAGAATCTATGACTCTATATTGTCCTGCTAAGGGGAATGTCTTGTGATGATCATTTCTTAGTGAGATGAGAGCCTTTCAGAGTAATGATTAAATAAATAAGGTAAATAACACTTCAAACTATAATAAGGCTCTATAGATTCAAAGGACAAGATATTTTTCTTGTGCATCAAAGACTCCCAGCATGTCCTAACTCTAACTTTCTGAAGGAAATTGCATCTGCAGTTTCTATTGTTACATTACCCTACAAATAAAACTTGCTGAACATGTGACTTTGGGCTACAGATTAATTTTTACCATTAGCAGTACAAAACAGTTTCTAATGCTCAATCATTAATTAACTTGAAATTTTTGTGTGTAAATATAAAATAATCTGCAGGATGATTTAGCTGAAAAGTCCAAAGAGAATTCAATGTTTGTTTAATCCAAATGAACGTACCTTTACAATGACATCTAAGACTTCAGGTCTGGCCCTTTTTGCTTCTCCGAAAGACCTCACATTGAAGGAGCAGATTTTTATGCTCAGAGTTGCATTGAAAAAGAAAAGCAAAAATAAAGAGATGCAGAACATCTTTGAAGTCCTTGAACAAAGAGCGCTGGTGAGGAGTGTGCTGTGTATTGCTCAGACTGTAATTTAAATGAAGTTAACTGTAGCAGTCACTAACCACTTAACAGGAACTACTGGCTTCCTTCTTTTTCCTTTGTTTCTTTATATTGTGACAGGGAACTACTGATAAATTGAACTTTTGCCTCAGGGGATCTCCAGTAGTTTAGAGCCAACTTTCACAGTGTGAAGGTCCTTGTCTTTCACTTTTGAGCCCCAACATCCCTTTTCCTGTGTACTAAATACTGCCAATATTATTACACCTCTACCTCGATATAACGCTGTCCTTGGGAGCCAAAAAATCTTATTGCGTTATAGGTGAAACTGCGTTATATCGACCTTGCTTTGATCCACCGGAGTGCGCAGCCCCGCACCCCCAGAGCACTGCTTTACCGCGTTATATCCGAATTTGTGTTATATCGGGTAGCATTATATCGAGGTAGAGGTGTATTAATTTATTTGAAGTAGCATCCACTGTGCACTAGGTGTTTTCCAAACCCCGAAGAAGGAAAATCACTGCCCCAGGGGGTTCACAAGTTGAGGACAGAAAAGTAGATCGAAGTCAAGAGAAAGGGAACAGGAATAACAATAGACGCCAGCTTGTAGGCAGCATGGGAGAAATGGATCTTTAAGAGGGACTTTTGTGTGGGCAAGGTAGAGGCCTTGTTGATGAGCTCACAGCGTCACACCATGCAAAGGGGAGTGCATGAAAAAGGGCATGGAGGTGGCTGTGTTAGAAGCTGGCAAATGGGTGAGCAAGGCTGGGAGCATTGGCAAAGTGCAGTGGAGGGGGGCAGCATTCTGTGCAGCCTTACACGGGAGAACAAGTAGAGAGGGGCAGATTTCTGTAGGGCATTGAAGGTGGTGATAAGAATGATAAATTAGATTAAATAGTGGATGGGAGCCTCTGACTATGAGAGGTTCTGTGCAAGACCAAATGCCATTCCATTAGTGTATTTTTCTCTCTCCATCTCATTCTTGAGTATCATAATTATGGCAGTAGAGTAATAGAAATATTTCACCTGCACCTAAATAAAAACAGAATCACTTCGAGAAAGAAAGATGCACAGTTGAAGTAAATTGCAGGGAGAATTAAATGTGTTTTTTTCTGTGCGCTCAGATTCCTCAGCCTACAGTGCAAGCTTGGAGACAAGACAAACTTGTTTGGAGGGTTGTTGCACAGGGTCAGCATTTTGCCAAAGTTATTAAGCACTGAGCACCTCCTGAGGATCATTAGGAAATGACCATTGGCAGACCCTCTAAGGAATCAGGCCCAATCACTAACTGGAATTAGTGGTATGAGAGTGAGATTTTGAAGAGTAAACATGAAGGGAGAAGAACTGCTTACTTTGGGAGAAGGATTGGGCTACAGGTATAACAACTGCACTTCTTTTCATCTCCTATATGCTCCCTCTGGTGCTCGGATATGCAGTGTATTACTAACTCCTGCTGTATTCAGCTGGAATTATATACAGCAGAGAAATTTTGATTAATAGATTTTTAAGGGCAGAAGGGATCATTAGACCATTTAGTCTGACCTCCTGTATAACACAGGCCACAGGATTTCACCTAGTTACACTATACTTAGCCCAATAACTTGTATTTGGCTTATACATATCTTCCAGAAAGGCATCCAGTTAGGGTGACCAGATGTCCCTATTTTATAGGGACAGTCCCGATATTTGGGGCTTTTTTTTTATATGGGCTCCTATTACCCCCCCTACCCCTTGTCCCGATTTTTCACACTTGCTATCTGGTCACCCTACATCCAGTCTTTATGTGAAAACATCAGGAGATGGGGAATCCACCACTTCCCTTGATAATTTGTTCCAATGGTTAATCACCCTCACTGTTAAACCTTTGTGTCTTGTTGCCAATTTGCATTTGTCTTCCAGGCATTGTTTCTTGTTCTGCCTTTCTCCATTGGGTTAAAGAACTCTTTAGTACTTGGCATTTTCTCCCCATGAAGGTGATGATATACCACGATCAAATCACCTCTTCATCTTCTTTCAAAAAACAACAAACCCCAGCCCAAAACATTTTGAAGCCGTAGAATCCATTCTGCTGTCTTGTGTGCATTGCTGATAATAAAGAGGAAGCAAACTGGTCAGTGGCTTCAGGAAGGGTAGGAGTTGATATAACAGGTGTGAACAGTTCTCTTCATGTGACTGGATGCCATCTGCCTGATTTTAAAGCAGAAGGAGGAAAGGGAGGCAGGCAGCCAAATTGCAGAATGAAGGCTGCAAATGTCTTAGTGCTTATCTGATGGATGCACTATGATCTTGGCAAGAGAATGGCCTTTACAGGCAAAAACAGCCAAAGAAACCAGCAAAAATACTAACAATCGAAGTCAACTACTGGAAAGACTTGCACAAACAAAAATGTCAGTACTGTAAACATAAATAACAAACTAAAATTAGCCCAAGAATGAAGACAACTCTCAGCTTCTCACAAACAAATTACCAAATGTCTCAAGAGAGGACAATATGTTAAGCTAAAATGTCTATGTGGGTGATTCAAATCTTTTTAAATAGGTACAGATGGAACTAGCATAAAATGCAGCATTTGTGGTTGAGTGATCCTGACTAGATCAAAAAAAGTGACAAGTCTGAAGGAAAGAAAGAGATTAAGGGTTAGCTGGGAATCCAGATTTTGCCCACCTTGCCCAGTGCAACATACTGTTGAAGTGGAAACATTCTCTGTAAATTAACTTTCACTATAAATTAATTTACAACAATGATTGCTAATAGATATGCAGCAATGCTCTCCCTGCAGAGGCTACCTGCTAGTGTGATATTAATTAACAAAAGTATTTTTAATAGGAAGAAAGAAACCATCATTGTCTGAAAATTCTGTTCTTGAGGTAACCCTGTCTTTTATTAATAGAAGCAAAAGCATTTTTTAACTTATGTAGTTGGGGTGTTTTTTTGTTGATATTTAAACTGTGCAGCCCTGTAAAGCAAAAAGTAATGATTTCCAAAAGTGATTTTATTTCTGGTGTAAAACTTGAAATACCTTAGAGGGGCCTGATTTTCAGAGGCTGGGTACTCAGCATTTTCTGAAAATCAGATGAGCACTCAAATCACTAACCACTCCTGAAAAATCCTGGTCACAGAGCTGTACAAGATCCACCCTGCCACACACATACATGAAAAAAAGGCAGTTTAGTTTGCTATGTATCTCAAAGAATCATCTCTCTAACCCCTCCCAAAATCCTTAGGCTTGGCCTGTGCATAGCAGGGAGATAACTGTGGTCAGAAGTTGCTTACTGTGAGCAAGAGTCTGGGGACAAGGGAGCAAAATATTGCTTCATACCCCACCCAAAAAAGGCTAAGGCTGGAGGTGCTTTTTAGACTGTTCAGCCCTCTCTGAGTACACCCGTACAATTGCTATCACCATGGCAGCTGCCCTAGAAGGCAACAGAGGTCTCAACTCTAGTGTGTATGTGGTACATTCTGCACTGCAGCCAGCCAGCAAACCCCCTCCCCTGCACTGCATTCTGGGGTGATGATCTTCAGAACAGGCCTGCTGGCTGACTAGTGTGAGGGAGGAAACCCCCTTGCTACAACTCTTGGGCTCCCAGCACGTCTCTCAGTGAAGATGGTGAGGGTTAGAGCTGAATTGGCCAGGGGCTAACAGGAATGGGGGAAGGAGGAATGAGGAAGCACTGGGCCAACATTATCCACAAAAGAAAAGTGAGGAAGTGTGGAGCGATCTGGCTCTGAGCTACTTGGCTCCTTCTGCTTTCCTTTTGTCATTCTGTGTGTTCTATACACCCTGCAACAAGTGCTGATATTATTGTTGACCTTTGGCCTAAGCCGTTAACCAAAAATGGGGCCTGGCAAGGTTGTTCCTGTTAGGATCAGAAATGGGTGATAAGAGTCAGCTATGTTCTTGGTGTAATCTCACATATTTTAAAACAAAAAAGTACACGAAGGTCGGTTGTCCTGGCACTATAAAAACAAACAGCGGGCAGTTTCCTTGTTCAGACATCCCCAATTAGGCCACTCCCGTTGTGTTCTGTGACCAAAGAAGCTCTGTCTTTCTGCTTCCTCTCAGGATAACACTCATTACTGCTTTTCCTAGCCTTGTCTGCCTCCAGCACGCACAGCCTGCAACAATATCCTATTCCTACCCCCTGTGTGTGCAACCAGGAAACCCCCTCAGTCAGGAGAATTAGCTCTGACCTGTCCTGAGGCCTAGTGCCTTGGGCAGTAGTCTCACAGCCCAAAGCTGTTTTTACTACATAAAGGGGCAGCATTGCTCCTTCTGTAGAGCCTGAAAGTGTATGGCACACCCACAGATTTTAATGAAATCTGTGGCTATCTTTGGATTCAAGACTCCCCCACTAGCAGTCATTAGCATCTTCCAGCATAACGTGATATACCTTTGTGATTTCTCCCAGCAGCCTCTCCCTCAGAAAATAATACAATAAGACACTTCTCAGCAGTCCACAACAAAAATGTGATGTTCGCATGCGAGGCTGTTTTGGAGACATGAGGGGCCAAAAACAGTTAGGACATTTTTTTAAAAAAGTCAATGTCAAGGAAAACAGTTACATGCCAAAAGTTTAAAACCCCTACTCGTTTTTCCAACTTTTCCAGAAAAATGTCTACCTTTGGCTGAGATGTGGCATGTGAAATGTCAAGAATTGCTTTCCTTAGTGGAAAATTAGGGGCGGGGATTAAAAATTGAGTTTACAGAAGGAAGCTAATTTCAATCTTGACTATGGCATGGCCATTTTCATGCCAGAATATAAAAAAGGGAGGGAGTGAGAAAGAGAGAGAATGAATGAATGCCTGCTAGTATCCTGAGGTATAATGTTTAATCAGCGTGAGTTTGGGATTGTGATATTGCTTACAAGTGGCAAAACCATGAACTTTCCAGGCTCTGCCATGCAGCAAAAGTGCAATGATCCTACATACATCATAAATGGAATATGCAAGTATCCTTATCTAGGCTTGAGCCTTGCTT